TTTTGAACTAGCTGCAATTTGAACAGAACATGAATGATATTGTAAAAGTTCTAAGCAGAGAAATCTGGAATTTAAATTTAAAACCAAACGATCTAATACTTTCAGGAATCCTAGATACTGAAGAAATAAGAGAAAGAAATCCTGGATTTTTGCAGATGTTGCATGATACAAATATGCTAAATAGTTTTGAAGAAATAATTACACGATTATTATTGCCAGGAAAATTATCAAGTTTTGTTAGAAACTACCTTTGTGAAAAAGAGATGAAAATCTCTAATAATGAATATAGATCTTTATATATTTCGATGAGAACCTTTATTGATTCAATGTAAGTTATATTAAATTTTATTATTTTGTTAAGAACAACTACACTTACTAAATGTCACATAAGTTACAGTATATATCATATTGTATCACCAATATGATGTATCTAATCAACTTGTATTATAATCTAGAACTATACTAAGCTTGATTTCTTTATGAATCTATAAAGTCGCAGCATATAGAAAAAAAAAGAATATCAAAACAACTCTCCAAAAATCAATGAATCTACCTAGTCACATAGTACAATTGATGCAATTATAAAGTTTATTGAGTCTGATATGGAGGTGGATCTTTTTATTTGGTAGTATCATATATTGTAATATTGCATATCTTTTATATAAAATTGCATTTTCTAAATAAAAAACTATTTAGGGATCATGCTATGAGTCATATATCTGCCAATAGAAATAATGCTAATAGTGATGGACCTATCAAGAAAGCTGATATGTTTGGTACCCATTACTGTGAAAATTTATGATATAACGTCGAATTATTTTTGGTGAAATCTCTGGATCCCCTTTTTACTTAAATAATTCCAGAAGATTTCATACTGTTGAAAACCAAATTAAGTTGAAAAAATGTGGGAAAGATTCTCTTGAAGATTTAAATAGATATTATAAAAAGAACAAAGAATTTTTTGGATATAAAAATATTAATATCTTTTTGATGCATATGCATGGTTAGTAAATTTTGAACTGTCTCTATCATTTTTTGTTAATAACTAATAATATAACTATTGAATTTTCAAAAACATTTATTAAATTTTCTATTATGGATCAAAAGTTTTATCCATTATTTCGAATAAGAACTTTGGAGAAAGTTGCATTTCCTTATAAATATAATTTAATATTTGCACAGATACAATCTTTAATTGAGATAATATACACATATAAAATGTTAATTAAAAGCAATTTAGATATGTTGAATTCATCAGACAAAGAATTTTGCATAGTAGATAAAGACAACAAGGATAAAAGCAATTACAAAAAAGATGATAGTAGTAGTGAAGAAATAGAGGAAAGTTGTAGTAGAAAGGAAGAGTGGACTGAAGATGAAAATTACGATTCTTTAGATATTATATCTGGAAAGATTAGTAGCAATAGTGATGATAATGATGAGGATAGTGAAAATAGAGATAGCAGTGAAGTGATAGTCAAGCCTATTAAAACATATAATACTCTATAAGTAGTTGTAAATTTACTATAATTATTAGTGTGCCAGCAATAAAAATTAAGCATTGTATCTTATTGTGATACTGAACAATTAAGATTTTATATTCTTAGCAATTTCTACTAAGTCTAAAATTTTTTCATCTCTTATATTCGAAAAATTAGAG